AAAGTTGGGTGTGTCTCACGTGTGGTGGTGTTGATTTGGTTGGAAACCGAGCCCAGTATCATCTTGGTATTGCCGGATTTTCGCTTAACATCATGTTCGTTTGCTAGTTAGACTTTTATTTTTTTTAAATCGTATTATTGTTGATTTTCAAGATGGTTTACAGTACATTACGAATAAATTTTTGTTTTTTAATAATATTTTGAATTAGTTTAATGGTTTTTGTTGAGGCTTATGCTTCTCCTCACATGAGTAAAACGAACCAGTATCCTATTGAGCCTTTGTAAGTATTGCATACAATAGTTTAATGGCTTTCATTTTGTCTTTTACAGAGCTTTGTTTAATTTGGGGTGATTTAATTTATGGGATTGTTATCCTAGACCATCACAAAACTGCATTTGAGATGCTAGGTTCTGGGACTCAAGTGTGATATTGGGGCTACCATTGCTTATGATTATTTCAAGGAAAAGCTTACATGGGGATTTTAATAGTGGCAAAGATAGTTATCAGAAGGGGAGTCGGGAATTCAATAGAGTACGGCGACCTTTTGAACAGGGGCGGACCCACATGGGGTCATGTGCAGTTTTCTGGATTTTTTTTTTTTTTTTTTTGAAAACTTAATTTTCTGCCCCAAAAAGTCCAAATCCTAAATCTATATCCATATCCATTATTTAGTCCATAAATATATCATATAATCCACTGATTTCTTCTTAAAGTGCAAATATTGAACATGAACAGCAAATAACCGATTTTTCCTTTTTGTTCATGATACGTTGTTTGAAAAAAAAAATTTTGACCCCACAGTTCGAACGGTCTGGGTCCGCCCCTGCTTTTGAATACATTGATGATGGCGATTTGTGGAGGTGGAGCCTTCCTAATAGTAAATCATTTAGTAGTTGTTTGAAGGATTTGAACCTTGATGTTAATGCCCGACTGAATCCCTCCTCATTTCAACAGGTTACTTTTATGGGGCTCTTTTTATTACAATATTCAGTGTATTCTCACAGTATTTGTATGTATTTGTGCACTTGCATGTGTGCATACCTACTGTATTTTAAGATCAATAGCTTTGCCTCATTGCGGTGCAAAAAATGGTGTTTGAAACTGTCAACCGTAGCAAATGTTACAACTTGTCAAAGTAGGTCATTCCAAACTAATATTTTGAGAATTTCGATAACATGCTAATTTTTAAAAGTCTCCAACGATCATATGCTAGTCGAATCCACAAACTGCCTATGTCATCTTGAAACTCATTTTGAGAACTACATTGTAGGCTTACTGAATGGTTCAAACAGATATCGAAATTAGTTAAAGATACATTAAACGTGCTAAAAAGAGACATATAACTTATATTTTCTTTAAAAATTTTCAATTATTATTATTTTTTGCGATACAAATTTTCAATATAACTTACATCATTCTATTATAAAATTTTATATGGGATATGACGTCAAAATTTTTTGAAATTTTATTCTACATCTGAAAAAGTCAAATCCATGTAAATTTTTGGATGTAAAATTGCATGAGCTATATTTTTTTGGATGTAAATTTCGAATGAAAAATTCTTCAAAACTTTTTTGCAAGTTTGATTGTGTCCCCCGACTTCAAATGTGTGCATCCGCCCCCGGGTATTGTCAGCTCAAAGTCCTGTCTTTTCTTTTTCTTCTTCACATTCACTTCCCTCCTTTTTTTCTTTTTTTCTTTCTTTTTTTTTTCCTCTAGATTATTGCTCTTTCCTCATGGTGGAGCTGCTTAGAACCTGTTGCATTATTCTGTTCCGAACTGAGAAAAGGCGCGTTCTACACGTTCTACACGAATGAGCATCGGAGGAATGAAATAATCAGATATCTATTTTTAAACGTCTGAATTCAGGGTGCATATAGGGCCCTAAGAAGTTGTGTGATTCTGCTATACACAAGCAGTTTCTTATGTGGTTTTATCATCTAGAAAATTGCACTTTCGAAAACTTGAATTCTGGCATTTGGTAAGGCGTATCAGATAGTACCCGAACTATAAAAGAAGAAAAAAGAGTTAAGTAAACCCTGTTTATTATAGTGTTTAGTCTTATCCAATATTGCGTACCAATCCAAGATTGAAATTTGCTTGCCTAGATAATAGTGTTATCATCGTCATTGCCATCTTTTTACTTTATTTAGGGGAATTTGAAGCTGTTGACTTGAGCTTGAAAATGATGAACTGGTGAAGTTAAGCCTAAGAAGCATTGATAATGACACGTTAGACTTTTTCATTTCTTACTTCGGAACTTCCTGTTTACAGAAACTATACGACATAGCCCAAGCTTTCCCCTGCAAGAATACGGAGGTGGGGGCCGTCAAAGTGCTAGTTCGTTCATGTTTAAAAGTGAAGGATTTCAGATGTGGAAATCTTATGTTGGTACCTTGACCTCGGCGTGTGGACCTTTCTACTCTAGTACCGTTAATTCCTACACCAGGGGTCCTCTTCCAGAGTCAATTACAATGGTTATAGCTTCTACAAGTACCTTATATGCAAAAACCATAACAAATGCACAAAAAAATATTTCCTTCGTTCCATAAAGATAAGTTTAGAGCTTGTTTGGTTTAGATTTTAAGTCATTAAAATCAAAATTTTGACCGTTATTTCACTATTCAAGTCGTCATTTTTGAATTATTCTCTCACATATAGGACACACTTTTTCTTTAACGGTCAAAAATTCAATTATCAAAATCCCTACCAAACAAGCACTTATTTATTTATTTATTTATTTATTTATTTTTGTCTGTTTCAAATTATAATTTTTTTTTTCTCTTTTTTTAATTATTATTGAGAGCATAATTGATTTTTTTACTTTCTAATATACCACTATTTAATGTGTCTTGTTTTTTAAACAATTATTTTATGTAGGAGTATATAAGAATAATAGGGTGTTTGATACTCATTTTTACTGAACAATGAATTTTAAAATAGTAGATTGATGAAAAATGTGTGAAAGAAAAGTTTTTTATTTACGTGCAATATTATTTTAATGAAGAATGTGTTGTTGATAGAATCAAACGGGACCTAAGTGTAATAAAAATTTATATTTTAAACTAGAGAAATGCTACAATACCACAAACCTGCCCCCGTGAAATTTTCCCTTGGTATTATAGCATTTCTCTTTTAAGTATTAATTATATTTTATTAATTAGTGTGAAAGTGGAAACAAGTATACCCTAGTTTGAGCCCCATTTTGAGGGGGAAAATGCATTTTTAAATAGTTATTGATAGAAAATGTGTGGTTAAAAATTAAGAAAAAATTTTGAATTTGCGTGTTATTTTATTGAAAAATGAGTTTTGAAAAAATAAATTTTCAGAATAATGAGGCTCAAACAAGGGCCCTTTATGGGATGGAGTGAGTATAATTCCATGTCAATTTGTAGCAAAACATAGAAAAAGCCACTTGGAAAGCTATGGTCCATGTGTTGTTCAATGCTAATATTAGGTTTTGAGATAGTAATTGCAATAATTTGTTAATTGCTCATTCATTATTAAGCATTTTGGTTTTCCTTGAGTTGTTTTTGACACTAGATTCTTAATTTTCTCAGCTCAACAAGAGGTTCCTATACTTCGTATCCCCATGCATTAGATTTTGGCAAGTTGGTCTGAAGTTAATTTTTGAGATTTCACAACGAATCATTAATTATGAAAATCATCTAGATATTCCTTAAATTACTATGTGACAGTCCTTGGTGTAAAATATTCCCCTTCAAAATTATATGTTTTGGCCCAAATTGAGAAATGACAACTAGCTTCACAAAATTGGACTAAATTCACTCATATTCAAAGGTTGGACACCAATTTGCTATTTGAACAATAGGTTCCAACTCAAATTTCTCTTGGTAATTAGCACAAAACGTCCATATTTTTAATGTTATTATGCAAAACATTTCAATCTTTTATTTTTTGGTATTTTCACCCTTCATTGCAGAAAGGGTTCTTTTCTCAATAAAAAAATGTAAAATGATAAATATACCCTCATATTTAAATAAAACAAAAAGAAAGTAAAAGAAAAATTAAAGAACAAATTGCAATTTACTCCTAAATTTTTTAAATTGTAAATAAGTCCAAATAAATTATTAAAATGATAGTTAGCATAATACGTTCATACATTTCAATATTATAATATAAAACATCCTTACCTTTTATTTTTTTTATTTTTTATTTTTTGCATTTTCACACATTTCATTGCGAAAATCATCAATTTTTCATTCATTTTCTCAATTAAAAATGTAAAATGATGAGTATGCCCTCATATTTAAATAAAAAAATAAAAAAGAAAAATAAAAAACAAATTGCAACGATATTTCCAAATTTTTCAAAAAAGTACAAATAAATTATTAAAGAAAGTAAGTTCTTTATTTATTTTTATTTACATAGGAGAGTATATTTATCATATTACAGCTTTTAATTGAGAAAATAGATAAAAATGATGATTTAGGCAATGTAATATGAAAATATGGGTGAAAATGTCAAAAAAATGAAAGAGAGTGACGTTTTGCACAATAATATGAAAAGGTAGGATCTTTTATGTTAATTACCCTTTTAATAATTTATTTGGACACATTTATATTTTTTTAAAAAGTTTGGGAGTATAATTGCAATTTATTTTTTTAAATTTTTTTTGTTTTATTGAAATAGGAATGTATATTTATCATTTTACATTTTTTTTATTGAGAAAATGACATTTTTCGCAATGAAAGATGAAAATAGATGTGAAAATATTAAAAAATAAAATGTAAGAATGTTTTGCACAATAACATTGAATGATATGAATGTTTTATACTAATTATCCGTTTTCTCTTTTAGCCCCATTTTTCTCATAATACATTTTTCTCCCAATTCTTTTCAATCACACATTTTTAAATAAAATAATATTACATGCAAAAATAATTTTTTTATTTTTTAATCACATATTTTTCATCAATTAAATATTTCAAAATACATTTTTACTAAAAAAAAAAAAAAAAAGGGAAGCAAACATTGACTTAAGTTTCTCTCAAAAGATCATGGACAATAATTGAGAAGTTGCAGATATCTGAGCGAGGAACAAATGAATTAACAAGTCGCAAGCGAATATAGGCCCCTACCCGCCGACCTACAAAGAGAGTTGGGAATAATGAAATTGATGTTAAAAAGAAAGCAAACAACACTATCATTTGATGACTTCGTCTCTCATAAAAGCCTTGTTTGGTCCGATTATTTTTAAAATAATTTTTTTTTTATTTTTAATTATATATATTTTTTAAAAAAAGCATTATACGCAAATTTAAAACATTTCATTATTATTTAATTACACATTTTCCATCAAAATATTATTTAAAAATGCATTATTTTCAAAAAATGGGTTTCAAAAATTTCAAAAATATGATCTTTAGAGT